GCATACCATCAGAGTCTGTAATTATCATGTTGATACACATCGTGCTGTGGATGCCCACTCACTGACAGGAGAACAGACAGCATTGATGCTGTATGAATGTTTGTATATGAGGTGGACATCATTTCTGGTGATGCAAATAGTTTGGCCTACAGAATGTCTGGGTACAAAAGGCAACCAATGGCTAACTATTATTACAGCACCATGCAGCATTGGATCCGCAGGTTTTCAGAAGCCCGTGTAAAAGCAGATCCTGGTATCAAAGCACCTATTCCCAGAACATTTTACAGTTCATCTTCACTTGTTCTCAAGCAGTGTGAAGATTACTTTGAGAAACTCTGGGAAGAACACTCTACAGAAGAGAAAGAAGTATACCAGGGATCAAAGCTTGGCGATACATGTTTGTCTACCATTGTTGAATGGGGTCATTCGATGAGTGAAGAGGAATATGAAAATTCCACAGTGAGCACGAAGGAGTTCATCTGTAATTTTTCAGAGAACTTTGCTATGATTGACACGGAGGTTATGTGCTCAAGGCCCTCTGACGAGGACAGTCATGGTCCAATGTTTATTTCACTCAGACCAGCTTCCTATTCATCTGGAGACAGAAGACAGTATCGCATGGGAGCAACTCTTCATGAGGCGAAATTGCGGAGGAAGGAGAGACAGAAGGAGAATAAAAGGAAAGGAAGGCCGCCAACTTCTGATCAAGCAGCTCCATCGACTGCAGCGGCATAACCTCAGAGCAAAGGCTAACTTTTAATGATAGCTAGGAAGTGAAGATACTTCTGACCACAGTTGATACTTTGCTTCCAGGCTTGACTTTAAGTTGCCAGGCTGAAGTTTTACACTTTAGCATGCAGATAAATACAGTTTTACAAAACAGATATTATCTGCAGGTAGATATGGACAGTTTTTCAAAACTGATGATGTTTACCACAGTCGCTCTTTATGAAATGACCTCTAATGGACAACCATTCATGGTTGATGATTAAGTCATTTCATAAGTTTGCATTTGTAGTGCAAGTTTTGTACATACATTTGCCGGTGTCTCCTTCCTTTTGTTTTTGGTGTCAATGAGAGTAAGAGTCCTTTTGATGCAGTGTATGGAAGCGGCCGAGACCACTTTTAGAGAAGAACAATTCTCGGACCGAGAGTTGACGCTCCTTGCACTTTGCAAGGCATCTTAATTCGTTGCAGTTTGTGCGGTCTTGAATTTTTAGTTCTTCGTTACGCGAGTGTCGTTTACTGCTTTTACAGGTCTCTCTCTGTGCAAGAAAGCCGCTTTCCCTTGAATTTAAGTTTCTTTTAAGCTCTGGCTATTTAAGGGCTATTGAGCGCCGGTACATGGTATCTTCGCCGGTGAACGATACAGTCTCCAGCCGAGATACATTGTCTTTGACCTTGTATTTGAGGTGAGTCAGCTATTGCTCCCTCACTGTATTTAGTATACCTAGAGATTACCTTTTCTAAAGTGTGAAACACACTGGAATTGGTAAGTACAGGGCACCGTGGTTTCTTTTTAAGCTTACTAGAGCTTGCTGGACTGTTTTAGCCTTACGGTAGAAAAAATAGTGTGCGACATACGCAATAGGCAGGAGTGGACATGAATTTTGTGCCTGCTGAAATGTAGAGGCCTACTTGTACAGGTTCCACTCCAGTGGCCTATCTAGTGTGTCCATGCTTGACTGCCATAAGGCTCAAGACGCTAAGAGGATAAGACTCTGCGCATAAAAGACACTAGCGGTCTGCACCTCTACCGTGTACGCCCTAGTCACTCTTTCAAGGGGGGGGGGG